CAGCAGCTGGATGAGGAGGAGCAGCCAGGACACATGGCAGCTCCCTGTTGCATGCCACAGTCCAACACATTGACCTTTGGCAGCCAACCAAGCGGATCAGCTTGGCAAAACAACTTCATTACGCCAACAACAAGTTGGGAATGGGCCACGCCCAGCCAACTTTGCCCGCCTGGTTTATGCATTTATTCATTTCACTCGAACAACAAATATTTGCACTCGTTCCGAAGAGCTTTCTGCAACGCCAGATAGTTTTCATATTTTGCGCAGCATTCGCTGCACTTAATGAAATTCAGTTCAATCTAAAGCAAAGCGAAATCCAGGCCAAATGCAAAAGTCATCTTGGCCCCCTTTTTGCATAGGTTCGAAATTGGATTTTACATTTTTCGCGCATTTTCACATTTTCAAATCAGCTGCGAATGCATTATTAATTAGTTGGCCGTCGCCATGGAAAGCCTCGCATTGAAAACTGTTCAAATGGTATGGCAGTACTAATGCAATTTCCATGTAGAAACAAGGAAAACTTGCTGCGTATTGCGTATACGCCACGGTGGTCTCTCTATTTTCGGCCAAATGGAATGCGGTGAACCTCTGGCTGCCGCTTTACATCATGCTCTGCGGTTGATTGGGCACACAAACCGCACTTGTTCAAAGCTATATAGATGGTTATATACGATATATATAGTACGGTATATAGCAGTGGTTTACTGATCCCAGAAGTAAGGCTCGAATTATTCCCATTTTTCCTACTCTCTATTGAATTAGTGGTGCAATTTGAAAAGAGCCATGCAAATTGCTTTTTATAGGCTATGCAAAGCGGAATTATTGGTTGGCAAATTGAACTTATTAAAAGTTCTTGGTGAAATTGGAAACTTTAAAGCTGTTCTTAAATTCAAAGGTAGTTTTTTCCCATCACCTTTCTGTGCTGTAAAACTTTTCTTGCTGAAAAGTTACTATGATAAAAAAACATGACTAGAGAGATTTTTCGACAGGTGGAAATACGAATGCATTCTTCTTTCCCTAGGCTCAAACCAAAAAATCTCCTGCTGACGTCCTGTGGCTGTCCGGATTTCAGTTTCTGCACTCCATTCCACAAATATTTTCCTGATCCCTTCGTCATCCAGTTTAAAGTGGAGCAAGGTTACTGGCTTCCCTTTTTTTTTGGCCAAATAACTTTGCACATGGCCGAAATTCATAAAGGTTGGATGACTGCATGGAGTGGTGTCCACTAATAGTTGGATGGTTTCCCCAGAAATGAGTGTCAGAGTGAGCTGGAAAAATAATTGCCAAGTGGAAACTTAAAGCGCTTCCCATTCCGACTCCCTGGCTCTCCGGCGGCAATTTAATTTCTCAAATGGTCCGGGTGCCAGGCGATGGCAAACAACTTGCAACTAATGAAAATGCACTTAATTTGCGCCACGCTCAAGTCATTTGGAACAAATTGGTGTCTGCTGGGTGGGGGCTTTGTTAACGTAAACATATTGCCGACATAATCGAGTATCAGAACAGTGAAGCGAAAGGAATGCCTTGAGCCTTGAAGACAACGCTCTCGATGAAGGAGATATCCTTGCGCTCGACTGGATGCGAACTTTCTACGAGTTATTTTCCCTGTTTTTCGGGTGGCAAATGGGGAGGGGGGGTAAAGCGAAAATGGCACTGAAAATGCAGTGGCATCTGCAGCTAAGCCCTAAACTCGTCTGTCGTTTTAAGCGCCGCAATTACTGCCGACAGGCCACAACGCACTTTGTGCCACACGGTATAGTATAGTATAGTGCATGTGAATGGGGCAGTTACTGCTGCATGTCGGTGCGTTTTCCCCTCATTTGCCATTGTTGCAGATGCCGCAGAAGCGGAGGACTTATTCCACTTTTCAGTTTGAGTTTCCGTTCGGGGGATTAAGTCGTGCTAAGTGGAAAACAGTTGGGCTGACGGAGATTAGAGATTTTGGCTCGAAATTGGTTGCTGAAAATGAGACAGAAATTGAAAGTACAATGCTTGCGGCTTATTCGTTGACTGCTCTTTGCATTGAAACTTGTAAAATTTAATAAAATTGGCTAAAGATAAATCAAAGAGAAAGATTGTATATAAATATTTTTAAACAAAATTGAAACAAGCAAGGTATTAAGCTAGTTTATTTGTCAAGATTTCAGGAATATTTCTAATTTTATGATAAAATTTTTATCACAAAACAAAGCAGCATTATTACTCAAGAGGTTTATTTAATAAAACTGCTCGTTTCTTAGCAGTCTTTATAAATTTATAAAATCTGCAAAATAAAATGCATTATATGTAGGTAAACACAAAAACGGTTTTATTTGTATAAATAGCAATAAAACTAAACTCAAACAAAAATGTTTGATAATATTTTGCAAATGGCTGGCCACAGAAAATGATATTTTCGCCTGTTTGTGTGTGGCATGTGTGCTGTTTGATAACATTATCTGCACTCTCTAAAGCATTCCTGAAATTAATGAATTTGCGGCCATGGCCGGCACAACCCGATTCTGTCATATTTAGTAGATTTTAGTGGCAACTCAATTATGTGGTTACACAAAATGCCATTTTGCACTTGATGGCCGGTATCGGTACGGAGCACTCATCAATACCCCAGACTGGCCAATAATACGAGGTCCTGGCGAGTTAATTAAACTTTCCGAGCTGAAGGCTTTCAATAGCCAGATGAAGATGTAATTAAGAGATAAAACTGGAAACAACGGGCCCACACACATCAAGAGTTACGCCCCCTTTCAAGATGCCGCCCACCTGAAGTTTCCCGTTGCAGGGAGATGCAAAGGGGTCGGAGGTCAGGGGTCGGAGGTCGGAGGTCCTGGCCCGTTGTATTCCACCCAGAGATAAGCAATCGAGCGGAAAAAAAGATATTGAATGGGCAATGAACCATGGCCAGACACTCCCCCTTTTTCCAGCTCCCGATTGGCAGGAAAAATTGCAGATAATCAAGGGCAGCGAGGGAAAAGAGCAGCTGGGAAACTGACAAAAGCGTGGCTAATGAATAATAACCGTAATCATCGTTAAGATGCAGGCATATAAAAATATAGAATAACAAAAAATATATAACAATGAAATGGGAGCCATAACTGATGGCCTCGACTCGATGGTGCTCAGTAAAGAATACAAATTGGGTCGGAAGATACAAAATGAAAATTAAATCCAGACAATATTAAATTTATTGGCATAATAGGTGAAATTTATAATTTGCTAATGAAATGGTGGGAAGTTAAATGGACTTTAATGTTCGTTTGTTTTATGATAGTTGAATTTTCCATCTTTAAAATGCTTTAAATAGATTTTTATTTTATCAAAAACGATTTAATATTTTTTTGCTTATGTTTCCTTTATCGATTTCTATAAAAATATATAATTTAATCTCCAAGGCAACAACCAAACTAAAAGGAATTTTTATGCTGAGCCATAAGCTCTTTATTTAAAGAATTTAATGTCACAATATTTATCGAAATTTGTCCAGGTTTTTGGAGCTTCGTCAGGAACATTTATCACCCAATTTAATAGGTTTATTAGCCCGCACTTTTGTGCCCTTTTGAGATATATATCCCGATCATAAACCTGCCATAATGGGAATCCGAATCGCTGTCTGGCGGCATTCGCTTGAAGGGGGCAAGGAAATGTCATAAAAATTAACGTGCCATCGTAAATATCTGGGCGTTGGGCTCGACCCGGGCATATATATGTTGTATTTGAGTGCAAATATGCGTAAAATTGTTCAAACGACATCGCATGCACAGCAGTTACATTTATACATTTTGGCACATTGAAAAAAAGGAAAAGAAATGTAAGGGAAAACAAGGCGAGGCAACTGGTTGCCAGCCTCTTTGAGTATTATTTCCCCACATATTTACCCGGGAAAATGGTCTAGGTTTTTCCACCCCCCCCACTCATATTCCCCCCATCGAGTTGGCCGCAAGGCAAATCCCTGCAATTACTTTGTTGGCACTTTGTTTTGGCTTGCCTTTTGAAGTTCCCATTTTCGGGCTTCGCTTTTTTTGTGGCTTTTCATTCGCCCGCCCTTGGCAACGAACCATTAGGAAATTTTAATGGTAACTAGGGCAAAAAACTACCAAAAGTCCTCATATGTTGCGTAATGTATGTAAATGTATTTATTTGACACTGGGGAGGGGAACCTTTGGCAAAAGCAAATAAATGTTAATTTAATGTTAATACTGTTTACTTCGCCCTCGCCTTGAAGGTGGAACAAAAGGCAGTCCCTTTCCTTTTCCATTTCCCCAAAGGCAAACAAATAGGAAACCAAAGTCGTGGAAGTGTTTCATCGCCTGCGGCAAGTGTAAAAAACATACGAAGAACATGCAAAATTCATTGAGCAAAGGCCCAACAGCTGCTCCCAACTGCCAGCATGGGTTAAGGTTTGGGATTGGGGGGTTAAGACCCCCCCTCCCATTCCATCGAGGAATAGGACATGTGTAGGCGTGCGGAAATTTAATAAGAACTGGATTTTTATGTGCCACGCATACGCAAATAAGCGTTTTGCCCCCGCACAAAAGCACACATACAAACACAAGGCAAATGTGTATTTATGTGTCCTATTGCGATGTTTGGCCTGCTGTAATCACGCTCCATTGGGCGTCTCTAATTTGGCATTAATGCAGCCACCCATCGACCCTCCACCCCGTGACCCTTGTCCTCGCTCGAGTGACCTCCGAGCTAATGATTTGATTTATCTACCGGAGACCGCACAAATAAATTGCCCCACCTGCGTGGCATACTTTGCGGCGCCACTGTAATTGATTCGGGCGGTGGGCCAAACAAATTAGGGTCAGAAATCAAATATTTCTTCATTACGTGTTTGCTCAAATCACAATTAATGGAGCTACATTTTTTTAAAATTATGTATATTATTATTTTAAAGTTTCTTTCATTGAATCAAAGCAATCCGGTTTTGGGAAAAGTTAAAACTTCGCTGATTCTCAACTGAAAACCACATTATCTAACTGCCACTCGTCCAATACGAACCTAGTTTTTTGATAGCAAACCAAAAAATTTCCTGTGCAACCACCAAATTTTAGTAACAAAAAGAATCGCAATGTCCAAACAGCTATCGAGTTTCAAGAGGTCTAGCAATAAGGCAAATTACTTCACACCTGCAAGCATGGTTGACTTGGCCAATCAGCTTTTCGATAAGACCAAACAACTGAGCATGTCGATTAAGGATCAGCGCAAATTGCTGCAGGAATATCTGAGTGCCAAAATCGAGGGCAGCGATGAAAGTGAAGTGGACAGTGGTACTGATTCTGATAGCGATAGCGAATCCGAGGAGGATTCTTATTCCGAATCCGAGGATGACTCCGACTCCTTGTCCGATGAAGAAACGGAGGAGAGCAGCGATGAATCTGAATTGGAATCTATTGATGATGAGAAGAACTCCAAAACTTCCTCCCCAGCATCTATTAAAAAACGTGAAAAACTTGCTGCCAGGGAACTGGAGCTTTCCATTCACCTAAACAGCAAACTTGAAACTTCTGTGGCTCCTTCCAAATACTCAGCAGAACCTCAATCTCGCATCCAGCGTCGCATTACAATGGCCGGAGGATTGGTACCTTCTCCCATTCGCAAATCCCAGACTTTCGACAAGGAAAGTGAACAGAAACCCAAATCAGAAGAAGTCAAGTCCTGTCAAATAGCCAACAATGTGAAAGCCCCTTTACGTCCAGAAGACCAGAAACCCCAAAGGAATCCCAGTGTCAATTGCTTAATCAAGTCCAAAGTCAGTGATTTCTCTAAAGAATTTAGACAAACGACAATTAGGCTTGCTGATCCCAGAATTTAATTTTGTATATTTTTTTAACTAAATCATTTTATAATTTGTAATATCCTTTTATAATTTATGGCTTTGGAACTAAATTAAATGTAATAAACTTTGGCTTGAAGCGCTGTTTATCTACTATTTAACTTATGATGTTTAGTTCTGCAATACATTTTTTTTATTTCGGTATGAAACGTATGTTTCATCTACTATTATACTAAAGAAAATTCATTTACAATTTTATTGATGTTTCTTAGTTCTGCAATACATTTTTTTATTTCGGTATGAAACGTATGTCTATTCATATTTAAAAGCATCCGCTTGTTTTATTACAAAATCTCACCGCTATAAACTCATTATAGCCGTTTAGTGGGAAGCAAAACACCATTTCAAACAACACACAATTCCGCCAATTTAAATTAATAAACTACCGAGAAAGTAGGTCATATTTAATTTGACATTTTCGGGTCCTGCGTTGAACAACTTTAATTGGTCTCTCGGGGCTGTCAGGTGGAAACTTTTGTGGCGTCAAATATTTGACCCAAGTTTGCCTTCACATCGCCGATAAACTGGCCGATTTTGTCAGCCAAATGTTTTCGGTGAAAGTTTGCGGAATAATTTCCAGTTGTTTTTTGGGCCCTTTCCTATCTTTCGCTGTACTTTGTACCCCGGCCATAATTTATGCAAAAAATCTAATGAATTTTTCATGCACAACACAGCAGCACAAACAACGCAAATTAATGAAAATTCATGAGCGAATCCTGTATTCGGGTGCCATCAGTAAAGCCCCCTCCTTCGATTTCCACCGCCCCGCTGCCCATTTAATGGGCGCAAATTAAAAGCTGCCTAAACATTAATGAAAACCAAAGAGCCGAGAAAGAGCCAAAAGGAAAATGAAGGGCACGTAGGCCGGGAAATGGTGAAAAATGTGGCCCAAGTAATAAGCAATCAAGATTTGTGTGTATATTTTTATGGCAAATTGGAAAAGTAATTGCACATTAAATCCATTGGAGCGCAAAGTGGTGACGATGACTACAACTTATTTGCATTTAATTAAATCAATTTGATCGCTTCGTAAGTCGAGTGCGATTTATTCTATTTTGTGTGCTCCTAAAGCCAATTGCATGGGATTTGCATGGCATTGAGTTGGTTTGGATCCAGCAAACCTGGCATAAATCCATATAAAATGAGGGGAGGGGCTGTTTGGATGCATTTGCCGACTTGCAGTAAGCCGCAGGATGGGAATCACAGGATGCCTGGCAACCTGAATGCCCGGGGCCAGCAATCAGTCGTCATATTGGAAATTTTGATTTCGCCTCGGATCCAAATGCGTATTCGATTGTGTGCCCAAACTGCTGCTCGTTTCCATTTCGGTTTGGCCCTGCCAGAATGCCGGTCCATTTCAGGTCACTTTGGAAACGGAATTTCTAATAAATCGCACACAAAGTGCAGCCAAAGCGAGGGAGATGGAAAAAGGCAGAGTTCACATTCAAAGGACCCCATGAATCACATGCAAAATTGATGTGCAATTCAGGGCTTGGAGAATACATTTTACCTGCACGCAATGTTTAACATGCAGAATTTGAGCTGAACACGTAAATTCAAATTGAAACAAAATACTGCCACTCACTGCTATTATTCATTTTAAATTGAAAGTGTCTTCCCCGTCTCGTTCCTCACATTTCAAAGTGTAATTTGAACACTGCACGATGCAGATGACCAAAGCAGAGTCTTGATAATGAGACAAGCAAGTTCGTTAGGAATTCCATTGAAAACAGAGTGATGGCAAATTTGTCATCCACACAGACAGCAGATAATGAACGAGAAAAGCTCTGGGAAATTGTGTGGCTGAAATTTAAAGATAAGTTTCTTATTCCCAAGAGCCTTTGCGTATAAAGCAAATTCAATAAGCTGTCAGTATTTGTTATGCTTAATATTTTTATTGAATTATTGCGGCAATCGATTTGTGGATTGTCTTGTTTCTGCTTGGTACATTTAGGGGATTATAAAGTGGCAGTTGAATATAATCATATTATGGAAAGACAAGCTTTTAGTCTTAAAATGCATTTTCACTAATAATTTTTTTTAAATATATGCAAGAGTTGTCTGTACTTTTCCTCCTATCTCTATTCCTTGTTTTTCAATTAAAATTTAAAAAAAAATGAAATACGGTTTTGATAACAAGAGTACTGATTTTAAAAGTGCTTTGCCATTAAAAGCACAAATAACTAAAACACATAAAACTCTTGAATGTTCTTTAACTTCAAGCATGAGCAGGCATTTTTGATTGCATACTTTGAGGAGTCACGTAAAATGTATTGTGCCAATATTTTCTTGGTTTCTATTTCATATGCCTTTCACAGTCCTTCGGATCTTGCCTATCTGATAAACAAACAACTTTTTCGACAGGTACTTGACACATATTTGAACAATGTTGACATCCGGCAGTTCCTTGTTGGATGAACCGTAAACAAATAAACATTTTCCGTTGCCTCACAATTCAGAACTCGAGTTCCCTGCCCCGCAGGCACTTTATCTTTTTGTGCACTATGCTTTTGGCCTGGTCAGAAGTGGCACTCAATTTATTAGTGCCAGGCTGACGAAGGGTGGAGGCGTCAAAGTGGCTGCCATAAAAACTTTATATTTATGCTGGACGTTGGACTAGAAACAGAAAACCATGGGCCGCCTAATTGCGTGCCAAATTTGTTTGGGTCACTGGCGTCGGTCTCCCGGCAAGGGGCCAAAAATATTTGTTTAGAAATGTGGCTAGATAAATCAACGAACCGCCCCCGCACCCAGCAAAAGGCACAGACAGTTGGCATTCCGGAGGACAAGCTCATCCTCCCGATTTTCGTAGTCCCCCAAAAACCAAAAAGCGACGTCAAACGTGTTTAAAATTTATGAATAAAATGAGTTCGCATAAATCAAGGAGTCGGCGGCGTTGGAGAGAAAATGAAAAACGGCTCAGTGGCAGCAACATGTTGAAGGAACCTGCACGGAGCAAAAATTTTATTTAAAACTTTGTATCAACTTAAAATAAATTTGTTTCAAAAATGACTGACTTGACCTGTCTTAAGCTTTGCACTTTAAATTAGTTATAACTATTTGATTTGTAACATAAATTATATTTTGTCAAGATACATTTTTATCTGAAACATAAATTCAGTTAATCAATCTATTTTTTAAACCAGTAATAAATTGTATTATAATAAAATAATATAATGTAATATTTTTTTCATTCTCAAAAGGCTTGAAAAAAACCTCATGCTTTTAAAATTAATTTCTTATAAAATACAAAGCCTTTGTTCATGTTTTATATGTTCTAAAAAAATCCTTTTGAGCTTCCGAGTTACTAGTTCCCTGCAAAGAACACTCTATTTTTGCATCTGTGTGGCTTGTCCTGCCAAGAGGAATGCCCCACTCAAAGGAATGTGGCTGCAGGACCCGAGATGCTGTGAAATGCCGCCGCTTATTTACACTTAATAAAGCTGCAAAGCAGCGACAATTTTTGCAGCTGCAACTAAGCCGTGGGGGAAAAAAAACGGGGGGAAAAGGAAAGGATGCAGATCCTCGGTGCTTTTTATTTGTTTGTCATTCAGCTTGCTTAGTGCGGCGCATGTGTGCGATGGCATTAAACGCTTAGCAAGTCAAGTAGGCAGGACTTTAATGCATAAGCAGGCTCGAGTCCTGAGTCCTGCGTCCTGAGTCCTGGCGCTTGTGTGTACTTGTTATGCTGCCCTTTAACGAGCTGTGTGGCACACTTGCATCATGTTTGCTTTGCCATTGGCCCTGCCATTTTCACCCCACCCCGAACCCCGCCCTTGGAAAAGCCCCAGCCTTGTCGTTGTCATGATTAATGTCCTTTGTTATTATTTATTTTTATTTTCTTTGTGCCGCCCACCCTGACAGTTGTTTCTCGCCTCGTTCGCCTTGTTCGCCCAGCATTGACACGTAATGTCAACGCATGTACTGAGTCCCGCGGGGCGACTTTAACGCATCTTTTCATCCTGCCAAAGGAAAATGTGCCATGTTTTCGTGTTTTTTCGCTCCTCAACATCCTGCCTGTCTGGTAATTGTGCGTTAAGCACGAGTAATTTTTTGGTAAATGTACAATGTAGCCATGGTGGTCGATTTAAGTTTCAACTGCCTTTCTTTCAAAATAATTCAGATTTAAATTTGAATTCAAAAGAAGTGAAAAGGCTTAGAAGCTCGTTGTCTAATAAATCAGTTATGTAATTTAATCGCGTTTGAATCTTTCATATTGCTGTAGCCCTTTGAACTGCAGCTCAATTTTGTGCCTTTCATCTTGTTGTTAAGAGGATAACAATTTTAAGCAGAATTACTCTTTCTTCATAAAATACATTAAAAATGTGGTGTTGAGGAAAATATTACATTCCCTTTTTCATGAGTCTTAAAAGAATTCGTAATTCTTTTGTCGAGCAGAGACTTAGATGGTTTCTTGGAAATTATTTAAGGTGAGCTCTGAATGGTTTTTCTGGCAATCAATAACAGCTTTTAAAGTTTTTGCAAATCCAACAAAGTTATAAATTTGACTGGACTTTTTCAAAGCATTTTCAATTTTCCCTGCGTCAAAATCAGAGAAAATGTGTATGAAGAAACCTTTAGTAAATATTTCACCCTTTTCCCTCTCATTCTAAACGTCATTTGCTGGAACTACCCAAAGGAACTTTGTTCATTTTACATTTTGATCCGTTCCCTGTTTATGTTAAGCAAAGTGGCACACAAACCTACTGGTCCAAGTTTTGAGTGTCCCATGAAATGTGTGTTGGCACACTTTTATGACAGCTCTGGCTGCTTGGGGTAAATGCGGCACGTAATCGGAGTGCGGACATTCGTTATTGTCATTAAAGACGTCGGCGGGCTCTCAACGCTCGCCCACGCATATTACACATACCACACGTTGGCCCGACCACACGTGCCTGCGACATGGCCGGATGACAGGGGAGAAAATGTCGTTATGAAATGAAAATCTTTTTTTTTCCCTAAATGCCTTGACCCAAAAGCAAACGGCAGAAGGAGAGTAAACATCCCCGGCCAGCCGGAAAATTCCAAAGGAGCTTCCTCCTAACTATGTGCGGTGTGCCGGTGGACATCAATCAAAATGCGGGGGCTTCCTGCCACGGCAACCACAATGCTCTCGGAATTTTCAATTTCGCCTTGGGGGCGGCAAATTTATTAAATTGTTGCGTCTCCATCTCCATCTCCATCTCTAGTGTTTGCCCAGCAACCGATGGCCTGTGGCATAATTTAGGCTGTCCAAGATTTCCCTACTGGGAACCCCGAGCAATCAAGTTGCAGGCGAAACCATAGCAAACTTATCAATCAATTCAGGAGCAGCACAAAAGGACGATGGCACCCCCATTGACATCACAGATTTTGATTTGTTGATTGGCAATAACGATGAATGCAGGCCAGTGCTTGCCATTTCCTTCTTGCGGTCCGAGGTCTTCACTTTTCATTCCCTGACGTTGCGAATCGAAGCTGCCATAAATAATAGTTGCATCACGAATGGTAGATAGTTAGTTTCTGTCCGACGGGGATTTTGTTGGCGTAAAAGCTTTTAGCCCCGCAGTTCGCAGGATGCCGCTTATTTTCATTGCCACACTCGGTGTCCGGGACGCATTTGCATGGCTCAACGATGGCGTTAAAATGGCCTATGAATGCGGCACGTAACGCCACATTGCGCATACGCCGTGTGGACTTATCAGTCGCTGGGGAAAAAAAGGAAAACAAAAAGAGGAAAGGACGACAGGTAAAGTCGGAAAAAAGAAAAACAATGCAGTCAGGCTTACCTGGACAACAACGGCCATGAGTTCGCATATTTATGAGGCCAGTCTGAGGACCTCCGAGGTGCCCAGATCCCTCGGGATGATTGGTCTCTTCAAGCGTTCACTTCGGAGGAGGGGAAAAACACCCAGAGCCTGGCCATCGGCAATCACAATTAGAGCGCTCACTTGCCGCAGACCATCTCATTTAATTAGTTTCTATTTTCGCGCTGGGTCTTTTCATATTGCTTGCCGTCTGGCATTCAGGTCACGTCTCTGTTGGCCTATTGATAAATTCAGACAGACGGCCTCTGTCGCCACATTTATTGACTGTTTTCCCAACGGCCCAGGACTTTCCGCTGAAAAGGAGACAAAGTGAGCGTTTATGGTGCTCTTGCTCTTGCTCTGGCTGTGGAGTGCACTTCAATCTGTCGAGTCGACAACGTTGAAAGGACTGAAAGGATGGGAAGGACTCCATATGGCCAAACAATGTAGCCACTCGACTGCTAACTACACAGAGAATAAAAATCAAGTTTGCCGCACTTGAGCAAAGAGTCATTAAGAATTTTATAGTCAACTTGGATGGCAGGTACTTAAGTGAAAAATGGCCGAGGTATTTTTGCAGTTAAGTTTTTGATAGTCTTTCTTTAAAAACAATACCAATGAATAGATAGGTGTTAAAGCTCTTCGTTCAGTTCAGCAAATTGAACTTAAAGACTTCTTAAAATAACAGTTTTATTAAGTAGATGTCTTGGAATTCTCCTAGAAATTCCTAATTTCCTCTGTCCATTTTTTCAGCTGTCTTATGAATTCATCAGAAAATCTCACCCCAAGCGAACTCTTTTTCCGAGTTACTTAATTTCTGGGCATTCATGGGCTCTTATCATCAAGGGACCGGGACTCTTGGAACGTTGAGATTAATATTCGCTGCCCTTTTTGCCCGGGCTGCAATTATTCAGCAATTAAAAACAAAACAGCCAGAAATGTGGGCTGCGTGGGAAGGGAGGGGTGGTTTGTGGCAGCTAAATGAAATTACTTTGGCTTAATTAATGGCCAACGAATGTCGAAGCGTCGTCGCCTTTTTTTTTTTTTGGTTGTCACAGGCCAAAGTTAAAGCCAGGCAAAGACCACGAAAACTGTTGACAACAAAGTTCCAAAGTGACGCCATTTTTGGGGCGTGGGTTCAGGAGCAGCAGGACAACTAGGACGAACAGGACGTGCGTAACACACATATGATGCTAGAGCCCAGGAAAAAGAAGGAGGAGGCAAATTTTTCACTGGCAAATTCCCGATGCGATGCGGGCGTTCTTGTTGACGTCACATACAAGGAGACACGGAGACATGGAGACATGGAGTCACGCTAACAGACATTTGACTAACGGCCAAAGGGGATATATTCGGGCATCCTCCGGGCCAGGAATTTGTAGTTGTCTTCGTCTCCCCACTGCCAAGTGTGCCTGTGTGTGTGTGTTAGCCATGTGCGACATGCTCATAAAAAGCGTTTATTTAGCCAAGAGTCAGGCAAGCGACACATGACACCGCCAGCAGGAAAACAGGATGGGGGTTGGGGGGATGGAGCTCTTCTGGGATATTTGGGGGTGTCGAGAGTCTGCTTAGCGACGTAATGCTGATTTGGCTCTTACCACATCATTATGTCTCAACTGAAAGACTGCTCTGCTCCGCTTACCGCTTTCCACTTACCCAAACAACTCTTTCATGAACTAACCAAAGACTTTCCCTTTTTCTTTTTCTTTCCTCCCTTTTTTCCACAGGCTGCCAGTTTGTTAGGACGCTATGCATACCGCACTCCGAGGTCTGCTACGATGGTGAGTATGCGATAAGACGGCGACACCCAGTTAAGATGGACCTAAGCCCCCGATTGTGGTTATCAGTGAGTCAGGGAACAAAGAGATGCCGAGCTCTTGCAAATTGAATTTACCCACCATAAGACGGGATTATGCAGGATAGTTGCAGGAATGAGGAGCTGCAGGAGCTAAAATAAAACCCACTAAATTCGTGGCATTAAGTATGCCAAGTGAAGGCTAACGTTTAGTTCATTGGTTTTCTTTCCAAAAGTTAAACTTTAATTTGCCATTAAAGAAAGTTTTTTCAGGACATTAAGTATGCAAACGCATTGCCATAAAAATCGCTATTTAAATATGCCAGATGAGGAAGAAAGGTTTTTTATTGGTTATTCAAAATATAATCAACTTAAGTAATCAGCTTAAATAAGTCGCTGAGTTTAAATCAGCAATGCATATAATTTTTAAAAATGAGACAAAACGTACACATAAATCCAATAATAATGGACTTTGTGGGGAATTCATCCAACGCTAATTTCTTGCAGTGGGGTGTAAAAAAAACATACTTATGAATGGAAAAACTTTTTAATAAAAACTAAAAGATAACTTTTTGAGTTGGAAACTAATGAACTTTATATAAAAACTACCTGATGGGTTACTATTTAAAAAGAAACAGCTATTAAGCTAGGAAATAAAGAGGTTTTTTGTTTTTTAAATGATTATTTTCCAATTGCATGCATTTATTAAGTAAACATTAAAGTACAAATCTCACAGGAGGGCTGGCCTTAATTGCTTTAAGCACTTTAAACCCCAAATACAATGAAAGCCTTCACTGTCGATTTCCGCTGCCATTACCCACTACAGTTGCGAAAATGCATTTCGAGACAAAAAACCTATTTTGTGGGTCAAACGAAGAGGAGTGGAGGAAGGGGAACCCAAGCCGGAGAAGCTGAACTCTGGCCCCGGGCATATTATTCGTATTTGCAGAGCTCTTCAATGCCAGTTCGAGAGTTCACACGAAACAAAGTGTAAGGAAACTAGGAGGAGATCGGGGGCACCAGCTGTAGATACCCTACAAGGGTGCAAGGATGCAAGGGTGTCGACTGGCAGTGCATTATCGAGAACACACTCAATTACTTATGTAAGCACAACGAGCGGTGGCGGAGGGCTAGAGAACAATTGGAAAAGCAGCTGCAGCTGGAAAAACGCTGCGAAAAATGGCGAAAATTTCAGAGAAATGGTTGACCTCAAAAGGGGCGGAATGGGCAGGGGGGCGTGGCGTGGCGTGGCATGGCACTCACATGTGCGGACTGCACTTGCATTGCCAGTCGTCCGCATGAGAAGCATTTACATTATGCAAATTACGCTCGAGACAAGCCGCAAGGATATGCATTTAAATGGTCGTAAATCAGAATGAAAACAAAAGGTGCTGATGGCAGGAGTTCGGGGAAAAGGACTCAGGACGAACCATTGTGAGACGACCGCCATTAATGCAGTTACATGCCCTATTAGTATCGGGACTTATGATGACAATAGCGCGGAATGTTCAAGAGCTTACAGTTCGTTTACGACCGAATTTCGGCAAGTGCAATGGAAATTCAGGGTATGAAGATGGGAGGATAAGCCATGTGCATGTAATTAACTTTTACGATCAGATAATGATACAATATAGCCAAAGAAATTAACGATTTGTGGGTAAAGTAACAGCTTATTTTACAGAACTTTAAAGATAAGGATCAGTATGTATAAGCCTTTTAAAAACACTTCTTAGATTGATAATTTTTTAATATATTTTTTTATATTTATTATATATTATATATATTATATTTTTTTATATCTAACTAGTTTTCCAAAATTTAATCTTTTGCCTAAGCAAAATGTATTTAAATTATGCGTTTAAAGTTTCTCTGTCAACCGGAACTTCTTCAGGTGCAAAAGTTTGAAAAGTATACATAAACTCAAAGGCAAAATAAAGTGTGCTTTTAAGTATAAAAGAAAACTTTGCAGTTGCTTAAGATAAATGCAACAAAACTACTTCAATGGACTCGCCATACTAACCCAGTTGATTTTCCGCTTAAATTCCAGACAACATATTCGGCAAGTGCATTCCAACCACCGGTGTCGACGTTGAGGACATTGAGAAGTAATTACAAGGATTTAGTTAATAAAAGTGAGCCTTGTTTTAATTTGAATTTTAATTCCCCCCTCGAAGGACACCACTCAGCGAGGAGCAGTCCCGTGTGCTGGCCACCATGCTGGAGGAACTCCAGGGCGCCGGCTTAGGATGGGATCATCCGTACGTGCAGTGCCGTATCCAGGGATCGCTCTTCTCGCTGCAGCGGCAACAGCAGCTGCCCCCAATCTCTGCGCGAATCTGGCGCCGGCTCCTCCAGAATTCGGGGATCCGGCCAGTGCGATGGCCTATGTGCGCTTTACGCCGCCGGAACCGGACACCGAAATGGACTACTACGAGCAGCCGGGCGGCCAGTCGCAAGTGCGCTATCCGAATCTGAGGAAGAAACAGGTGCGGGAGAGCGAGGTGGAGGATGTGTACCTCAACCGAATGCTGCAGGATCGCCGGAGGCTGAGGCACGATCCCTCGGAGTTGGAGCACTTTGGCAAGCTGGACGGGCATGTGGGTGTGCAGGTGGACACGCCGAGCATCATGGACACCTTCCTGGACACCGAGCGGCAGCGGATCGAGCGGGAGCAGCAGTTGGCGGCGGCGGAGCAGGATGCCGACCGACGGGCGGAGCAGAATCGGCTGGAACTGTATCAGATTCTGGCCGCCTCCGAGCCCGATCCGCAGCCCTATCAGCGCAAGCCGGCGAATGCCATGGACCAGCTGGAGGCGATGGTGGAGCAGCAGCAGCAGCGCGAGCTGAAGGAGCAGCAGGAGCAGCAGGCCAAGGCACCGGTCTACGTGCCGCCGGAGGAGGTGAACGAGTCGAGTGAACTCTACTTCCCGGACAACTTCGCCCCCTTCAAACGAGCAAGGGGTCGCTCAAGGGGGGGATTGGCCCAGGAGGTGGAGGTGGACCAGGATGAGCAGCAGCCACCCAAGCGTTCCTTCTTCCGGGAGTTGGCCGACGACCAGGGATTGGTGCAGGAGCCATCTCTGCACTTCAGACGCGAGGAAACCAACGATGCAGCCACTCCAGAGTTGGCCAAGCGACGTCCTCCGGCCTTCAGGCAGCTGGATCCCTACGATGTGGGCCTGCAGCAGCAGGAGCTGGCCTTCGAGTCGGGTCTGCTGAGGAACTCGCTGACCCCGCTCGAGGAGGAGGCCATGCTGGCCTCCAACAGCTTCCCGCGCCAATCAAAAAGCCAGCGCGTTTACACCGAAGGCGGACTGCTGCTCATGCCCCAGGATTCCCAAAGCAACGACAACGATCCGGGCATGCAGGCCGATGAGCCGGAGAATGTGAAGCAATCGCTGCTGGCCAACATGCTGGGATTCGCACGGCACGAGCGTCTGGATGTGAAGAAACCGGGTCCTCTGCTAGGACCTCCATCCTCGGGCTCCTCGGAGCTCAGCAATCAGCTGGATACGGACAAGGCACGCAAACTGGATGCCACTGGCAACGGCAACAAGGAGGTCCTGCCCGCCCACATCAAGGGCAGTGTCGAGGACGAGGAGGCGCACAAGAAGAAGAAGGTCATGCAGCAGCAGCACTCGGCCGAGGATCACGCGCCGCACACCGTTGACACTGAATACGTGCATGTGTTCGTGAAGAACCCGTGAGTAGTCCTGGAAGTCCTTTTAATCCTTTAAATGCATATCCACAGGTCAAAAAGATATTTACAATATTCCTTTCTTTTTGATTACTTACCTAGTCTTATTTATGGCATATAAAATATATGGACTTACTTTATTCCAATGCCTCGTAAACTCTTCTTAATCAAAACTAGGGAATAATTTATACTATAAAAGATTTAAGACTCTTTGCATTATACCTATTATTTTAATGACTAAGCTATTTCAAAAATATGCATTGAATTTTCTTAAATTAAATGAATTTTAACTCTCCCTTCCGAAAGGAACGAATGTTTTATACTTTAATATGTTTTAGATAATATTTTGAAATTTGAATCTTGTGATAATAAAATTATATAATAAATTGATATTCTGGAAGACTACTTTATAAGTACCAGATATCAATTTAATAAGCTGGTATTTGGTCCAAAATAATTCAAATAATTTTTATCCTTTTTTATCTATGAATAAGTAACTATTTTACTATTTATTATTTGCAGAATTGACAGTTGGAACGATGGGCAGCGCATAATGAAGGAGCTGGAGCAAATACTACACTTGCAGGGATACTTTTCTTATTTAACGTGAGTCCTTTTAGTGCTTTACCCCAAAGAAAGCCCCTAACTCCACCCTTTGTGATCCCTTTGCAGCGTTCAACAACACGAAGTCAGCTTCCGGGTGAACTCAAACAACCCCGAGCGCAAGACCGCTGGCGATGTGGCACGCACCATCAACGAGAACCGCGGCGTGAAGAACAACATCCAGAGGCGCGTCGGGTTCTATGTGCTGCACGCCGGCGTGGGCGACGTCATCAAGGACCTGCAGGATCCCAGCGTGTCGTCCTCGCGAATTGAGCTGGCCGAGCAGGGTCCCGACGTGACCCACATCATGGCCTACATGTTCGCCGGCGCCGGAGCGGCCGCCGTGATCGTGATCTTCGTCACCCTTATCCTGATCAAGCGGCACGACCGCAAGCGGGACAAGCTGGGCGGCCTGCAGTCGGGCATCGCGGGCGCGGAGACCTGCAGCAAGGACTACCAGGAGCTGTGCCGCGCCAGGATGGCCGGCAAGGGGGGCAGTGGCAGCGGCAGCGGCGGCGGTGGCAATTCGTCGAGCGGCGCCGCCGGCGGTGGGTCAACCGAACCGGCGCAGGGTGGACGGATCACATCGCTGAGCAAGGAGAACGAGGGCCGCCCGCCATCCTCGCGATCCAGCACCTCGTCCTGGAGCGAGGAGCCCGCATTGACGAACATGGACATCTCTACCGGGCACATGGTGCTGGTAAGTCATGAGGGGCATTACTTTTGGGGGATACACAGTCGATCCTTAATAGCTCAAACTTCTGTATCTCAAAAGTGACAATTACATTTCACAAATATGTTTGAAAATCCGAGTAAGGCAAGGCAATTTTATTAGCTTATGTGGTATTACCATAAACGTATGGAAATGTCCGACATTTTATCAGTTAATGATTTGAAATAAAATTTGGTTAAAATCTTGAGAATTAGGTCTGCCAGCATAAGATTTAAATAACAGAATATCAAAAAATATAATTAATAGAAAATTAGTACTATGCGCGACAAGAATTTTGGATAATAAACTAATGTTTCCGACTGTTTTTGCGTCGTAACTTGGCCTTAAATGATCCGAAAGCTAAACAACTGACTGATTTGTACATCTAACACCCTAAATGAACTGTCCTTATCACTTTCCCTTTGATTTCGAAGATTAAAATTTTTGCCCAATTTTCGCATTTTTCATAAGGGGTATCATCGTAACTTTTCCAAAAATCTTAAAAAAATTTTTTTTTTTTGTTTTGAATACATATTAATTGTTTATTTTATTACGAGTTCAACGAGATATGACATTTCAAATTTGGCCTATTATTTGCATAAATATAGCCATAATACTGATTTGTTGTAGTGCGGAAATCGAGGAAAACTTTTCTTTAAAACCCCTGTTTTGGTTATAACTTGGCCAAATGGAGACCCAGAATTGAAAGATTGACTGTTTTTTACAGCTGCAGACCTCAGCTTATGACCCCTGTCACTTTTGGGCTGTTTTCGAAAATTTTTATTTTTGGACGATTTTCGCATTTTTTATAAGGGGTAACACTGTAATTTTTGTTGAAATTCGACCAAAAAAAAAAAAATTTTTTCTTGAACACACTTTTATTAGCAATTTTATTACGAGTTTAACGATATATGACATTCCAAATTCGGACAATTATTTGCATATTTATGGCCAATACAGTGATTTTTTAGTGCGAAAATCGAGACAAAAAACAAAAGGCAAAAATATGATTTTATCGCTAAGATTTTTCTGTGAATTTTCGTTGAAAGGGGAATTTTTAAAGAAGATAATTTGTTCGTATGTATATTAAGAGGGTTTTTGACTTTTCAAAAATCAAAATAGTTTTACTGTATTTATTTATTGGGAGTCTGCTGCTTAAATTATAGAAGATCGACAATGTTTTGCATCTCATGACTATACAACTAATTATTATTATGTTTAATTAGTCTTACATGGAGGATCACTTGCGCAACAAGGGACGCTTGCAGCGGGAATGGGAGGCGCTGTGCCGCTATGAGGCGGAGCCCAGTGCTCGGGAAGCCGCCTCCCAGCCGCAATGTGCGGGTCTGAACAGACCTGGAGCACCCTTGCCCTACGACCACTCGCGCGTGGTGCTCAACCATCTGGCCAATGCCGAAGGACTGGACTATGTTAACGCCTCAACGATTGTAAGTTGTGGGGGATAGTTTACACACTGATATTTATAACTCACCTGTAATTCCCACACCTTTCAGACCGATCACGATCCCCGAGCCCCCGCTTATGTGGCCGCCCAGGGTCCACTACCATCGACCTTGGCCCACTTCTGGCAGATGATCTGGGAGCAGGGAGCCGTGGTCATCGTGGCCCTCTGTCGCCTGCAGGAAAATGGCGAGGTGGCCTGTGCGCGCTACTGGCCGGAAGAAGGTGCCGAGGTCTATCACATCTATGAGGTAGAATCGTTTGGGGAACCCTTCAAATTGTTCTTACATTTAATTATTACCCTATATTCCAGGTTCACCTCGTTAGTGAGCACATATGGTGCGACGATTACCTCGTACGTTCTTTCTACCTGAAGAATTTGCGCACCAGCGAAACCAGAACGGTCACCCAGTTCCACTTCCTCTCCTGGCCGCACATGGGTGTTCCTGCCCAGGCAAAGGCTTTGCTGGACTTCAGGAGGTAAGTAAAATCTGGCTCAAAATATATATAAATATTTATATTTTTAAATATATACTTTTTATATTTTGTTACTTTAAACGAGAAATGCCATGATCTCTTTCGGTTTCACCCAAAAACAAGTCAATTTAAATTGTTAGATTGATAGAACTTTTTAGGAAACTTCTAATAACTTTATTTTAAAGCATTCAGCTTCTGAACATTAAATTTAATGTTTTCTATCACACTTATTATATTAAATCTTGAATAAAATTGGCCCATATAATATAACTAACTTCATTAACAGAGTGTTGCGAGAAAAGCCATGATTTTTTCCAAAATCTCTTTCTTTCTCAACCAAAAACTAAACATCTTTGACTTCCAGTAAATATCATAAAATGTTGGATTGTTTCTGGGAAAATTTTGTTTTTTGCATTCAGTTTCTAAACATTAAATTTGATGTTTACGGATAAATCTTATCTGTGCAAACAAGTAATCATAGTAAAACTTGATTACTATAGGCCCATATAATAAATAATAATTAATAATAAATAAATAATAAAATAAATAATTAAATTTGCTTACCCCGCTCAAAAGTTACTTTAATATTTTCCCAATATTTGTATCTCCCCAGGAAGGTGAACAAATCCTACCGGGGACGACGCTCCTGCCCCATTGTGGTGCACGGCAGTGCCGGAGCCGGTCGGACGGGAGCCTACATCCTGCTGGACCTGGTCCTTGAGCGGATGAACAAGGGGGCGCGGGAGATCGACATCGCCGCCACTCTGGAGCACCTGCGTGACCAGCGGGCTGGTGTGGTGGCCACCCGGCAGCAGTTCGAGTTCGTGCTGATGGCGGTGGCCGAGGAGGTGCACGCCATCCTGAAGGCCCTGCCGGCGAACACTTCCGGCGAGAAACGGGAGCTGGACAAGGATCCAGTAACGGGCAGTGGCACTAGTGGCACCACCAACAGCAGCAGCACCACCGCATCCACCAAGGAGCCACCGCTGAAGGAGGACAAGGCGCAGGAGGCCGCCGAGGAGGAGGCGCCCACCAGCAGCTCCAAGGCAGCCGCCGTGGCCAAGGAGAAGGAGAAGGAGGAGAAGAAGGCGGCGAAGGATCAGGCGAAGGATCAGGCGAAGGAGCAGTCCAAGGGCGCAGAGCAGAAGACGCCAGCCAAGCCGGCGAAGCAGGCGAAGAAGTAAGCCAACCCAGATCCAAAATCGGGTTGAAGGTTAAGCCTCAGGTTAATGATTGTTGCAGCGTTTCGGGGGTCTTTTCTGTTCGTTATAGTTAGCAATTGCCTTGAGTTCGATTTTGATTTGGCGTGAGCACTTGGAAGGTTCGAAAAAGGCTTCACGAGGCTTGTCAGTAGACGGGTTTATTATCTTCGGTTCCATCTACACCGCGCCATCGAGCACCGGGATCGCCGGGATGCGGAGTCCTCCGGAATCCGCCACGCTGCCCCGGTCTGCACCAGCCCGTGAGACGAGGGGTGCGTCCGGACGGAGGGATCCTGTTCCGGCGACCAGGTGTGGTGCAAGCAACTATAGAGACGCACGATATATATATAGCATATTTGAGTGTTAAAGGATATACAAGAAATATTTACATACATACCTATACTTATATACATGTCTAGCTGCTAAGCATTGGATTCAATTATGAGGCATTTTACTTACTCGTACATTTATCGATATCGATGTTGGCATTAAACTTTAACTCTAATCGATGTGCTTGAAAAACCAGCAAACGAACGACAACAATCGCTGAACGGTATACATATGCCAAGCCAGACAGAACAGCAAACAGAATCACTAGACACTAGACAAAAGCACACTAGACACTAGCACACTAGACACTAGCACACTAGAAACTGGACACTAGACATCGCCAGACATCAAGATCACCATTCACTATATACACTATATACACTGAACCCACTCCAAGATACATATACAAGAGACAGACATATACAAGAAATGGATGAATGCAAAATTTGTACCTAACAAAGTTCTATTTACAACATGGAAGGGAAAGTTTAGTGAGGAAGCAACCTATTGATGTGTATGACAATTAATTATACAAGGATATAATCACATTTAAAAATATATTTGTATACAATATATATATATATATTATGCATATACAATATGGTGAATGTCATTATCTATCTAGCCAACATACATACTCGATATTCGAAGCGAGTCGAGTATTGTTTTACCAGACCATATGTATGTGTGCGAAGTCAAGAATTTGTTCAGTTACCAATCGCTACTTAACGTAAGCTACACTTTTTACCCTTCGCAGTTGATTATATTATATTATATTATATTACATTATTATATATTATATCATATTATCCACTTAGGTATAGTGTAAATGTAAACTTAACTTTAAATGTCAGAGGAACCACGCCGAAGCTCTGGTTTCTGCCGGCTAGTCTGTCTCCTGCGGTTTTAAATTCACGATCTACTCCTTCACCAAAAACTGAGGCAGCTAGAAGCCAAGGGGCAGGCTAGATTACTGGGAGAAGCCAGAGCTTCGCGTGTGGTTAAAAGTATGTGTGCCACAACAACTTAATGAGATCGATCCATCAAGAAAGGAAAAAAAAAAATGAAAAAAAAACCCAAAAAAAAAAAGAAGGAGCATTGCCCCAGAAGTGCATCCTTAACCATCTGGAACATAAGATCACCCAGAACACAAATTCCCAAACAGGCACGACCGCGAACGAATCAAAGGACAAACAGGAAACGAATCACGCAAATAAATATATAGATAATCACACGGTACTATGCCGTCGAGAGACCGCATGACACACTATACAAAACACCCCAGGGAACGGCAACAAAGATACAGTGACTAGCGATTCGCAAAACCCAAAACAAATACCGATTTAGGGCACCCGATCAGAAAAAATATGAAAAACAAAAAAATACAAATGAAATAAACTCAGATTGAGGAGGACGTAAGTGCAAGTGCTGCAAATTAGCAAAGAAATATTCAAAAAAATTACCAAATAATTACTTAACAGTTTTACGTAGCAGTTGAACTTAAACATAATGAAAATGAGTTATCGTAGTTTGAAATATTCCAAGACGACAAAGATAAGATACATTTCAGCTAAATTTAAGCAACAAAACAAAAACAAAAATGAAAACAAAAACAAAAACGAAAAATTATTATCTCGACGCAAACTTATAATTTGAAAAACATATTCTTCGTTTGAAACATAACTGACACTACACAACAAATAAAAGCAAATGAGAAAACAATATTACAATAACTGTGGCAAGTCCGAACAACAACTTGGGGCTTGCGAAAAAACTATGAGAAAAATTTATTAACGTGGTAGAAAAAACAAAAATATGAGAATAGTTAAACATAATTGTTTTAGAGCAAAATATTTAGTAGTGAGTTTTTCGATTGATTTACGAGTAATTGAAGCAACGTTTTTTCAAAGTTAATTAAAATACATACAAATACAACTACGACAATTTCAATTCAAATGTTCTTCGACGAAACAAATTAAATAAGTGTACTAACAAGCAAACGTAAATGTATCGTATTATAGTCAATCGCATATAAAGGCAATTATTGATGTATATTTCGACATAACCATAAACATAAAAGTGTTAACGATTAACGAGGAAGAAACAACAACCATGCGTAGAAAATTGAAGGAACTTAAATATAAACTAACTTATTATAAACATTTAATGCATAAATGTCTAACGGACTTTTCCATTAAAAAATACATATATATATATAATATATAAAATCGTACCTATTGCGTGTAAAAAGAACCCAAGCAAAAGGGTTAAATACACACAAGTCATGCATTTCATCATTTCCCCCAATCTATTTTCATTGATGGTGTAACATAGATATACAAAAACTTAAAAATCAACTAAGCGAAATCTGAATTATTATTTATAAGGCAAAGGAGGAGCAGAAAAAGAATAAATCGAACCGAGAATCACACGAGGACAGAACTAATCTGACAGATTCCGCAGATTGAGACAAATGGGACCTGTTCGGCACTTGACTTTTAGCTTTCCACGGGGCAGATCAGGTTGTTACCAAGGCACTGGGATCATCGTACGAGGATGAGGATGAGGAGGAGCAGAAGGAGCAGACGCCCAGCCATAGACCGACGAACCCAGAACGAGGCATACAAAATGGTTTGAGTTCCTAAAGAAACATAACCCCAGGACGGACCCTATTTCCGACGACTAAACCCAGAACAGGCTGTATATACGCACATCTCACTCCGGACCAACAGCTAACCCAGACTTAAACCGCAACTGAAACTGACCGATCGGACGGAATTTAGTCATAGGCCTACACAATGAGATTCTACTCGTAAATTAGGAGGATCGGAGTGCGGAAACTTCATGAACTGTTCATCCAAAGATAAAGGTCAAGTGATTGGGACGGGATTTCCAGACATTTGACGGACTAACACTAACCAACTTATCAGACAGGCAACCAAACTTGAACTCTCAATGTTACTGGTTTTTTTTTCTGAAGGATTGAGTTTGGTAACCGCGGATGATAATATACAAATACAAATAAATACAGAAACACAATACAGGCACCAAAAATGTGGGAAATATTTGAAGCATTGATCAGCATGCATACTAAGATGCAATTATTGCTGTCTAAATCAATTAATTAACGGGTAAGCAAATTAACAAAGAAAAATTACAAATAATTCGAGCAGGCTTTCATACATTTTTGGAAAACCAAAATGAAGATTCTGATTAAGTGAGGCATCTAGCAGATAAGAGAAACATTTAACAATATCGATGTGTATACAATATGCTACATACAAGAATATATATCCATTTAGCCACTTGGCAAAGATTTGTGTTATTAAGAAAAAAGATGACGAAAAAAAACAATGAGAAAACCCAAAAAAAAAAGGTAAAAACCAGCAAAAAATTATGCTGGCTGAGGCCACTAATATCTAAATGTACTAAAACTGATAAAAAGCGACAAAGTTAAATGATTATTGAACATGAGTCAAACTAATAATAAAATACACCGAACACATACACTCGAAGAAAAGAACATGGAGCATACCTATTAAAGGTTTTTTGTGCAAAACTAATTAAACTATGCAATTTAAGTGTTTTAAACATACATATTACATTAAACATGCTACAATTATTTATGAGAATTACATAGCAACATGTATACCTACATATATATATATAAATGTTATTAACCAATTTGAATTTATGAAGAACGGAGAAGGATATGCATACCTATATCTAAATGTATCGCGCCATTGTGTAATATGCGCTACAAATACAAGTTGAAAATCACAAAACAAAACATATTATATTCTGCTGCATGTGTAAATTATATAAATGTAAATTAAAGAATACCAGAAAACCCGAAAAAATGCGAACAATTTTCGATGATAAACAGCAAGCAGAAAAGAATAAGGACGATGACGATGTAGAACCGGTAATAATTACGATTACTATTATAATACGAATCAAAAAATAATAAAGAGACCCTTAAAGAAACTGAGCCTACCAACCATATAAACCAAGAAGGCATTAGCCGAGCGTAGTACAAAAAGGAGTTTTGGTTTCCCCGTTCCCCATACCCAGTGTTCACTGTCTGTGTCTAAGATAAGAGTAACCTAAAAGCTTCGGCGCCAAAATAGCATATCTGTCAATAGAGGCCAACTTGCCCGCAAGTTGGCTCTAAACATCACTGAAACGAAACACCAATCACAACAACTTAACAGTCTACGAAGGTACTGTAACTATCAATAATCTGTAGAGTTGCTTATCGGAAATAATATAGATTTTAAACTAACCATAGAACACCTAGCATACTTAGCACACTTGCACGCTTTCCCACTCAGTCCTTTTAACACGCATGATTTCGACTTAATCCACATTTCTTTCGATTACTTATTAATTTACCTATAGATTTTTGAAATAGTTGCATGGTTCCCCGCCCCTCCAATAATATGATTCAGAGACTGGCAATCTCGTGGCCCTCTTCAAACCAAACTCAAATGCCGTACTTCGTAATTGTTACTTTCAGCAAAAGGTTGTTTATAGATTATAGTTGAATTGAAAGCAAATTTGCAAATCACCCAAAGCTTCCAAGCAGGGATAGGGGTTAAAGCCCAGTGCACTCTTAAATTAAATTAACACGTGCAAGCGGTTTTTTCATTACACTATTCCATTGTCGTTACAAAAAAGCACTAGGTAAGCATTTTTCGATTCGACGCTAAACAGAAGTAAGCAAATATTCCCTAAGAGGAAATAGGCAAATTTATCGCGTTTTTTCGCACTAGTTCTTCTTTCAAGAGAAAGAGTAAGCTACTGCTAAGCTAACTGCAATATTTAGTAAAATAATCACAACACTCACATTAAATGTCACACTTACAGAGTAATATTAAACACACGAGCTTGTTTAACGACCCCAGAGACAAGAAAAAAATAAGCTAAACAAAAGGTGCAAGCGCTTATTCATGCACTTGAAAACAAATTTGGCCCTCTAAAAGGACTTGGCTCCAAGGCCATAACAAAACAGTGTCTATTGAAATAATCACAATTTAATCACACAAAAAATATACAATATATCCAAAAGATTAACATTTAAACATTAGAGGCAAAATAATATATTACCCCAAAAACTAAATGCAGGCGGGTTTTTAAACTCTTTTTTTGAATCGCAGTTTGTTGCACTGGAATAAATACATTTTTCGTCTCCCCAGAGACTTGGCTTTGAAGCTAGTTAGCAATAATAAAACTACACTTAAAATGTAAATTCTTAAATATTTTTTCGATCTCTCCAGAGACAAAAATTTGACACCGTAATGTGAAATGAATAGTTAAACAGTGAAAGCGGTATTTTCTGACAGTGTGTGTCCATCACCATCCAAAAGCAATGCACTGAAAGAGTTTGTTTCGTCTCATTCAAAGGGACTTGGCCTTTAAGCTAACAAGAATAACTAACGAAATAACCACAAATTAATCACACTTAAAATGTGCAATATTATATACATACTCAAATGTTTATTCTATGTGTGTAAAGCAAGCATTAAAAAATCCAAAAAAAAATTAGAAAGAGGCAACTCAAATCATGCTAGTTTTATTTGTGTGTGGCAAAGAAAAAAAAACCAAAACAAAAATATGTAAATCATCAGGCAACAGAACCTACCCCAACTAGACCGAGAGCCCCGACCTAGACTAACACTGCCCCCAAGTAGACAATCATTAGAAGCACGATTTTGTTATTTTTTTTTTTTGGCTTGAATACCACCACCCCCTTTGCGATTTTCCCCTAGCAAAACGGAACGAGACCAACCCAGAGCAATAACAATAACAATGGCCAGCGAATAGAATACTATATAATCGGGTCACAGCCAATTTTATACGCCGACAGCCAAGAGCAGCGACGCGACGCCTCGAAAAAAAAAGGTGGTTCGGTGGTTTGGTGGTGCGTGTGTTGTATGGGTATATGGTATATGGTGTGGTGTGCTGTTTGGTGTGCCTCTTTCGCTGAGTTTTCGATTTCATTCACTTTTTGGCACACCACATCATCAGACGGCTGTCGACGTTTCTGTTCGCCTGGTAGAAATGTCGGAACATTTCTTTGAAATGCCGCAATGAAAGGGAAAAAAAATAATGAAATGAAAAAAGCCGCCGTGGCAAAGCGCTTTGATGATTTTCCGCCTGTGCCGCCACTACCACTGCCACTACCACTACCACTTTGGTACCACTTCCACTTCCTCCGCTCTGATGATGATGTTTGCCGGTGTTTGGCCATGGCGGGCATATCAATTTAGGGGAGTGGCATGCGTGACGCTTAAGCGAACGAGATTATAGACTCCTATCCCCTGCCGATCCCGATTCCGATTCCGATTCCAATCCCCTTCCCTCAACCTCCTTTCCCTCTTGTGTTTGTTGTTGCTCTCTGGCTGGGCAAAAGGCGGCGTCTCCTTTGTTGTCGCTCGCAGCGCAATTGGGCGTTCCCTAACAGTAACAGGAGCAAGGAGTCGGCGCAGGAGCAGGAGCAGGGTCACCATGGCCACGCCACTGCCACAACCACTGCCACAACCTCAAAACCTCTGCCGCAGACCAGGAGTCGCTGTCTGTTTGGCTTGCAGCCGTTGGTTTTTTAATGAAAACAACAATCTAAGAGCCATTACGTGGACCGCCCTGTGTTGGCCTCTGGGTAATATGCACCTTAACCCATTTTCAACAGCTGCCAGAGAGTGTGGGAATTTCGATTTGAAGCATAGTATTTGACCAAATGTTGAGCAAAGCGGTGGTTGAATAATAGTTAACAGTTATAGTTAAAAATGTTACCCCATTCAACTTCTATTTAAATTTGTTGTTATCATTCGATTTATAATTACAGTTTTCATAGAAAGTTTTAAATTCTACTAATGAAAATAATAAATAATTAATTTTTTTTATACTCTTATAAAATTTATATACAATCCGAAAAAACAGACTTAAAAAAAGGTTAAAAGACCTTTAAGGCAGGGTTAAAGCCATTGCATTTTGGACATTTATCACTGGCAGACTTTTACTGCAACACTATTGGTTACAACATTACATTCGTTGGGCAGAAGCTGCAGCACGTGCTTCATGCCCAAGTCGATGATATTTCCAAGGTGGTTTCAATCTGCTACAATAGGAAGGTTGTTGATAGGGCTCTCGTTCATAATTATCCCAATCAAATGCTGCTATAGCTCACCGAACTTAATGAGCTCACCTGCTCAAACCCAGCCAAGATTTACCTGGCCGTAAATGTAATTTGCTTCTATATAAATAATGATATGGATATGTATTTGACAGTATTTGAGAAGCACGTTTAGGTTTGATGGTAAGTAGGATTATACCTCCAAAAGTTAAGCCTCAGGACCTTCATAAAAAATCATTTAAACAGTGACTTGAGAAGGCCTGCCCAGTGCTGCCCATAAGACAAGCCTCTTGTGGGCATTGGGAAAACTACTCACAAATGGATAACCACATGGAACTCTACAGTTGTTCTACATGAGCATCTACAGATACTCTACATGCGACCTTACAGATATTATACAAAGTGCGGCGAATAGAGGCTTGACATATATTCTTCATAGTTTTACAGATACGGCGAATTGGAACAATCTTTTGTGGAGTCCTAAGATAAAGCAATTCTGTTCTTAAACAGAAAATGGAATGGAAATAGGAACAACAATTTACTAATAAAAACCATTTACCCAACTTAGTCAAAAATCTTGGTGATGGACTATTCTACAAAGGTGTAAAATAACAACTAGATGGCCTTCGTTAGTTTTACAATACAAATCTAGATGGCGCATATAAAAGATATTCATTCAACACAATTTTTTATGAAAATTTTTTCAAAGAGGCATTAATAATAAGGATTCAATTTTAAGTTCGAAAAGAATATATATTTTTTTTAATTAAATAAATATTAAGAAAATATGCAACTTTTCATTAGGTCATTTTAAAATTCTAAAATAATAAATGTATAATTTTATTCATATTTATATCGAACTTTTCGCATATACATTTTCATATTTAAGTGCTTAATTAAATGATCAAGCTTTAAATAATTTATCAGTATGTTGATCTGACCCAGAAAAACAAATACATTTGTCAGCAGAACTTAATGAATGAGAGTTTTCTATTTGCGGCTTTTAAATTATTTGAATTTAGAATAAATTCGGAAAAATTCTTTAGAACAGAATCAGATAGCGGGAAATTCACGAGTGTGAAAAGAAAAATTAAATTAATTCTCAAAATTGAATAAATTACGCGAATTATGTAACAGGCGAACAGAAACGGAAGGCGAGCAGGAGCAGAAACGAAGGCAGCTGGGAAAACCGCTTAGGAGCACTCGCATTCACATTCCCTGCCACTCTCACTCTTGCACACACACACACTCGCCCCGGGAAATGCTTTTCCTCCAAAAAGTCAAAAAGTATTAAGTACGTGGAAGAAGCAGCAGCAGCAGCCGGCACACTCGAGAAAAGCGGAAAAGAGGAGTGAGAGCTATCGAGCGGGCCATAAAACATTTTCACATTTTCCACCGCCGGCGAGGGGTGGCTTCTTGAGGGGGTTGCAAATGGATGTCACACTATCGGAAAATGCCAAGGGGAACCGACAGAGAGGGGAATAGAGATAGAGAGATGTGTGGAGAATCATCAAAGGTTTGCCGCAGCGGCTTTTCCGCCTTTGTGGCAAATCCTCAAAGGAATTTTCCGATATTTGTAGCAGGCAACCAGAAGCCAGCAGCAGGAAAACTTGACCAAAGAAAAACCAAACACACACTCAACCCCGACATCGAATTTTCCGACGTTTTCGTTTATATATATTTTTTTTTTTGCGCTCGGCCAGAGAAAATTCGCTTTTCATATGTGGCTGGCAAACGCAGACAAACACGGGCTAACGTAACTTATCGATGGGAAGCTGCTGGCTGACGTCGATCCATTTGGCGAGCGATTCATGAGAGCTTTTCCCCACTTTTCCGCCGCCTTGCGCTTTTCCCGGTGTCGCCAAGTGGTTTCTAATGGTTTTGCCCCGGTCATAAAGCAATAGGCGGCGTTTTACGAGCTGGCAAAAAAAACCTTCGGGCCGCTACCAAATTTGGTCGACCATAAAAACTCTCATTAATGTGGCAAACAAAAAAGGCCTGACATAAACACGAGCGTAAACATAAAATTTGATGAAAAGAAAAAGACGCGGGCCCTCGCATAAATTCAGCGAATCAATGAAAGCGACTATCAGGCTGGGTAATGATGGATTCAGGTTCGGATTAAAAAAGTTGTCTTGGCGGGGAGTTGCAGGAAGTGGGTGATGAGTGTGCAATATTGAGTGTGAGTCTGCAAGTGCCAAAAGGGCTAGGGAAACTCAAGTTTTCAATGAGATAAAAGGCGAACGAAGTAGTGATATCCTATACAATTTAATGTGGTATATTTGTAACTCGGAAATGAAGCAAGTTATTTATTTTAAATTATTTAATTTAAGTTTATGAATGGTTTGTATTTTGCTAATGCCTATTAAATCTTAAAAGACTAAATATCTACAGACTCTATATAAAACGTTGGACATTACAGAAAATCATCATACCATTGTTTATTTTTACAGCTAAATAACATGTTGGAGAAATGGAAATGTTAACTTATTATAGGGCATTTTAATTTTATATATTTTATCTTTGTGTTAAAAATAATATTTCAAATACATATGTAAAGATATATTTATTTTAAGTAAATACAAAAAAGTACAGGAAACGAGTTAAAGCCATTCGAATTTTTCCTCGATTAGTTCTTGAACCATCTTTCATTGAACAAATCACTTACAGGGTATATAACTCTTTGTTATTTATGAAGTACAGCTCTTTTGCGGCAGACATAGTGACTCTTAAACTGAGTTAATGCCAATATCACCAGCTGGTCCATAACGTAACCCCGACAAACTATATTTGGCACACACACGCGTGTCTGCATCCGAAGTGTAAAGGGGTGTAGGGGCTAAATCATCACTGAGCTCGCTGAACCATTTGGCGCGTGCTCAAACACAACGAGTTGGAAAAAAACATTTGGCTAAATTTCGCATTGTTTAGTCTGCAATACGCGAGGTTTTTATGTTTTTCCCCTCTCTCTTTGTGGCATTTTAAACAAATGTTGCAATCGGTGTTTGTTTTTGGTTAGCATTCCAGCTGGTGTGAGATGGATTCCACTTTGTATTTCATTCGATCTTCGCAGACTGTGAGGCGTCGAAAAAATACAAAAAGGTTTGGAACGTGCTTATAATTAGCCTTCAAATACTCATGGAAAACTATTCAAAAAGTCTATACTTTATAAGGAATATATTAAATCGATTTAATGTATGAATAAAGATCAGTAACAATCTGTAACACATATTATTTTTTACTACACGCTTTACTTATTTTATCATCCTTTTAATTAAAAACATTTTTTCACCCCAATATTTTGTATTCTTTTCCCATAAAACTCGTTCCACAGAATGAGCTCCCATAAGAGCTGTTAATTTTATTAACTTGGTCCCAAAATAAACTCCCCACAAATTGGCACTTGTTTTAAGCACCCCAACAGCAGCG